GAGAAAATAGAACTACATAGGGATTGGCATCCTAGGTTACTAAAATATTAAACTGAATCATTTTTTATAGTTTTTTCATGAGGAACGCCAGAATATTGCAACACTCTGTATCTGTCTTTAATCAGCTGGGTATGAACATGTATATTCTGCAAGTGCAATGTTTTTTTAATTTCCTTTTGCGTCCTTGGGTAATGAGAATACTCCTGGATTCCACTTAATTATTTGCCTTTTCATTTTTTGTTCCTCGCTGATTTTTTTCTAGATGAGCAAGTTGCTTTTATAGACATGGCTTTGAATTAGCAAACTTTTTTCAATATGATAGTCTTCCAAGTTAGAAATAAAGCAAATCCACTTTTTTAACCTCAATTTGTACATCAGACATTATTTCATAGGGAGATTTAGGGAGTTGCCAGTCTTGAACTGGTTGACTGAAGAAAAGCAGATTATGCAACTTTTACATTTGCAGTTTTATTGCCAGCTACAACTCCAACCCCTCTACCAGTTGACGAATCTTGTTGGCCCTGTGAAGACCTCTCCCAGTCTTTCCTTTTACTTTATATAATTTAGAAACATGTTTCCAAAGGGATACAGTTATGTTCCCTATACCTTTAATTGCATTCCTCTCTTTTGCAAAAAGGAAGAACCTAATTTGCAAAAAAAAAATTACACCAAATACCTCCTTTATTTTTTTTATACAAGGGATTGACTGTATTGATACCATCTCACTGTTTCCGAAACACCCATTGCAGTGACTCACACATAATTCCCTAAGGAGTGAAGAGAACATTTAAAAAATACAGAAGCATGCACTGAACTGGAGCTAGAAAAGCTGGCAGGAAGTCCTAGATCCAGCCCTATAGAAAAAAAAAAAAAACAATCATCTGTGGAAAAAACATTTTTCTATATTACTGTATGTAAACAGCTTATTGTGTGTCCTTTATAAAGATGTAATGAGATTTTGTTGTTGTTCATCTTCAAATGTGAGAGAATTCGCAGATTTTTTGCTTCTCTCTGCTCATTTTTGGACAACCTAGAAGTGCAGTGTTCAGCTGTACATCGTGCTCACTTCTTCCAAGCTTTCCCTTCACCTTGTTGTCATTGATTTGTCGCTTCCAAAGTTCTTCAGATAATTTTAAGACTATCTTGGTTTTGCCACTGGAAAGGTGGTTGTGGTTTATTTTTTTTAATATGCTTGCCTTCCAGTTTGACTATCATTATTGCATTAATCTTTTATAAGTTTAATACTACATTTTTAGCTGAGCCAGGCTTTTAATCAGTGAGGCATGCTGATTAAAAATTTGGGGTTTTTGATATGTCATTAAATCATTTTTTAAAAAAAGGCGGGGTGAGTCATAGTTCGTAAGAGAGAAGTTCTTGAAGTTCCTAAGGCATTGTGGCTTATATGGTGACCAAAATAGTTCTTTGATTGTGGTTTGACTTTGCTTTTTTTCCAGACAGTATTTGGAAAACCTTTGTCTTAATTATCTCTGGAGAAATAACCTTCAGGAGCTGTGGTCTGCACCACGCACTTAAACACTGCTAGTTCCTTTTTTTTTTCTTCTGTAAAAATGCCCATAAAATGCTGAGACGGTGTTAATTTTCTTCATAGCATCCCATATGATACTGTGTTTGAGGTTTGTGACCAGAGGTGGGGAGGGAGGAGTGAGCAGCTCTGTGGTGCTGAGCTGCCTGCAGGGGTTAACCCACAACAAATGCCTTCCATCATATTTGTCCTAGGTACATAAAAATTGGAGGAAAGAGGCGAACGAGTGTGTCTGTGTGTGTATAATTTTCTTGTTTTATGCAATATTTTCCCAGGCCTGCAAAAATGGAATATATTTAGTGTCTGGAAGAGAACAGCAAATAGATGCATTATAATGCAAATTGTGCATAACGGTTATAATTGGCTAAGTGGAAGCTCGTAACTGTTTTTTAGGTGATGGAAGTGGAATGAAAGGCTATTTAATTTCATACAGACCAGGGGCATAAGAAATTCCTGCCCAATTGAGACTAGTGATCCAGGATGGTGTCCAAGAGTGGTGGCACGTGAGCCTGGCTGCTTTCTATGCTCCCTTCCTTTTGGACTCTTCCAGCATCCACAGCTGTTGAATTGGAGTTTTTAGGAGGTACATCCCTGCCCAGGCCTTTTACAGTCCACTTATGGACCTGTCATTCATCATGTTGTCTCATCTGTTTGTACCATGTCTCTCTGGTCTCCTGTGCAACATATTGCAGGAGATCACTGTGCAAAAACCCACTTTTTTCTTTCAGTTGATCTCCTATCAATTGTGTCAAGTGCCTCCAGTTCTTGTATTTAGGGTAAACAGTGGGTTTCCATTCAATGTATTCATCACCTTCATGATTTTCTAAACTTCAGTTGTATACCCCTCAGCCATCACATCTCCAAACTGTGGAGTCTTAAGGTGAAAGGCCAGCCTTTCTGGTTTCATCTCAAAGGTACATATCTCCCTTCTTCATTCAGGTCGCCCTACTCCTGTACCTTCTCTGACTCCTTTGGAGATGTGGAGACCAGAACTAAATATTACTGACAACACAGATGCCTCAAAGTCTTTTGCAGTCAAAATTATGCTCTCTTTAAACATCCTTCCTGATGATGCCCACCTCTTTGTTGGCTTTTATAGCTGCCTCCGCACTCAGAGCAGGAATTAGATGGGAATTGATAAGAGCTGAGTGCTCAGCAGTGTTCTGACAGTCAAGTGGCAAAGCCTTCCTTTTGATTTCGAGGGTAAGTGTGAGATGATGCTCTCTTCAAAAGTCCTCTCAGGGCTTTATTTAGATCCATGGCAGCCTTCTACCTCTAGCCTCCCTGCAAAATGGGACTTTTCACGTGCCCTTATCCTTCCCTTTCTCACGCTGTCTTCCAAGTTCCTCAAAACACTGTGGTGGAAGAACGGAATAACGCAACGCTTCTGCATGTCTCCCCTGTTTAAACAGAACAAGCAGAGAGGTCAGAAAGTCTCTTGAATAAACTCTTACTCTTTTGGGTTGGAGCCAGTCTGACTCCCATTGTTACCATGTTAACCTAGACATATTTTATACTGGATTTTTCTTAATTTCTGAAGTTTTATTATTGCAGAATGGTGTGTGAGGAAAATAATGTAGTAGTAAGTATTGTTTGTGTTAGTTAAGGTAAGTAAGTATTCTTTTAGTTAAACACAGACATGAGTCAGCATTGTGCCTTTGCAACAAACTTGGATGATGGGTTACACGAGGAAGAGCTTAGCCACCAAGGAAAGGGATGTGGCTTGTTTCCCGACACAGAATTAACAAGCCTGCGTCTGGAGCACTGTGTCTGGTTTCTCCTCCTGCACCGCCTGGTACAGGAGAGATGTTAGCAAATGGAGAGGAACTAGTAGAGACCTGCTAAGGAGCTTAGAGGGCTGCAGCATGGGACACAGTCATGGAAGGGGTAGAGGAGCTCAGCTTCGTTTGGCTGGAGGAGTTTAATGGAAAATCTAATTGTAGCTTATCAGCCTCAAAAGTGAGGTTACAGAGAAAATGGAAATAAAGTCTTCTCAGGGGTGCATGCTGAAAGGACAGGAGGCAATCATCACAAAATGCAACATGAGAAATTTCTGCTGAGGTATGAGGAAAAAGACCTTCACCGTGAGACTGGTTGAGCAACTGGAACAGTTAAACTGGAGGTTTTTGGGGTGTGACTAGACAAGCCTCTGAGAAACCTGGTCTAGCTGCAAAGCTAGCCCTCCTTGAGCAGGTTTGAATACGTGACATCCTTCTCATCTCAGGTTTTTTTCTTTGACTCTGTATTTGTGAGTAGTAGCAAGACGTTGCTAAAATCTGTGCATTGTTAGATCACGCTGACATCTGTAGAGTACTTCTATCCTGTTTACAACTAGATCATTTTAGCAGGAAATCTGAACTTTCAGCAATTTCCCTGTTGTCCTCTTGGACAGCAGTATTGGAAAAAGCAGTGACTGCATGTTTTTGGTGAGTGTTCATGGGTGGGGCTGTTGTGCTCTGGAGACTTCGCACTCGGACGCTTCGGGGCCTTTCTGCCTGGTTTCTTCTAAAATCACCCGCCCTTGTTCCAACCCCACCAACCTCGCACTGAACATGCCAAGCAGTTTTCGAAATCCCAGCCTTTTCTTCTCTGTGAGAACATCAGACCTCTTGGTGGGGAAGGCAGGGAGGAGTGCTGTAAAATGGCAAAGCTGTTTTAAACAGGGATGCAGGAGGTACCAGTGCCGATGCCTGTGGCAGTTGTCTTCAGCCCCAGCGCCGCTTTCCCAAGCGGGTCTGTCTCTGTGGCCATGCAGCAGATCAGGGCTGCATCTCAGTTTTTGCCTGCTGTCACCCATGCCTTCAGCTTATCTCGTGGCTCTAAAACCAGTGCTACTGTTGCAGTAGTGCTTGGTGGGAGCAAGTCAGCGGGGGGTGAAGGGTAGGGATTAGATGCGGCTCAAAGCTGGCCGCTGATGTGCGTGCCAGAGTGCACGTAGTCACGGCACTCTCTCCCAGCACAGGAGCACGTTGAGGCTGTATGTAGCAACCACTGAGACCCTGTGGAGGTCTTGTCAGCCATACATGTAGCCTCAGAAACACTCTGTCCGACATGGCCCCAAGGATGCAATGCTCCACATTATGGCATTCTCTGCCTCCACACTGCCCTCTCCTTTCCTAAAATGCTCTGTCTGTGCTCCCTGCACATTGGCTTGGTGTGCAGCCTCAACTGTGTTCAAGTTAATGTGTCCTATGTGGGTATTTGGTCTTTGGGCATTGCTCCATTTCCAGGACCTACTCACCAAGGTAAGTGTGGATGCCAGCTGATGGTGTTGTCCAGCAGCCGGTTGCTTTAGTAAAACGAGTTCATTCCGCCCCTTAACAGAGGCTTCTCCCTTCTTGCTTAACATATATTTAGTACCGACTCTCGGTACATTAAGGTACTCAATTTAAATAAATAAAAGGTCATAAATTTATATGATCTCCCGCTGTTTCTCTGTGTGTATATATAGGATGACAAGGAAGCCAACAGACCTATGCCAAACAAAGGAGACCATGGACTAGGAAATGAGAAGTTCAAACCTGTGGTACCTTGGCCTCACGTTGAAGGTGTAGAAGTGGACTTGGAATCCATTCGAAGGAAAAATAAGGCCAAAAATGAACTAAATCATCATGGTGGTGGTGATAACAAGCAGCAAAACATCATCCAGAGGCAGTATCTCACCTTTAAGCCTCAGACATTTGTATACCGAGATCCTGTTTTACGACCTGGAGTCCTTGGTAATTTTGAACCCAAAGAGCCTGAGCCTCACGGAATTGTTGGTGGCCCTGGAGAGGAAGCAAAGCCATATGTTTTAGGACCAGATTACAAAGAATCCATTCAAGCCAGCATTAAAGAGTTTGGGTTTAATATGGTGGCAAGTGATATGATCTCACTAGATCGGAGCGTTAATGACTTGCGTCAAGAAGAGTAAGCAAACGTTTTGTTTTCTTTTAGTTCTGTTTTTATGGGATTTAATTATTTTTTTACTATATATCTTAATCAATGCTTGAAATAATATTATTAATTAGGCCAAATACTTGAGGCTTCTTGTCCTGACAGGCAAGAGTGCTGTACTATGCAAAATGTTTCAATATATTATTCTTAATGCTGTTCCAATTATTCCTTTCGAGAATACATAATCTATATTGATTTATCTCTGAAGTCAATTCATGTTAAAGTCTAATTGCACGTGTTTGCATGTTCCAGGTCCAGCCACAGTCTTCATGGTCGTATCTCTTCTTAATCCCTAACTTCTTAAGATTTGTTTTTAAGAAGGAATGCTTTTTCTTCATTATGTCATGCAGAAGTTCCTATGCTACGGGTAGTTCATTCAGTTTTGGTTTCACTCCACTGCTTTAAAAAACTAAAAAAAAAAAAAAAAGAAAAGAGATAACAGAAACAAAGAAATAATTGTTGCCTTTGAACAACTCTGCTTAATTACCTGCATTAACAGAATCATAGGTCTGCCACAGTGGTGTTCAGGCTTTGGAGCTGACAGAAGAGTAGTCTTCTAACAGTTTCTCACTGCATTTGTCATAAGGAACCAATCCTAGAAAAAACATTTTTTACTTGCTGGGAGGGTGTGTCTGCTTTTGGTGTGGGGAAATTCTGGGAAGTTATTAACATTTGCTTGATGATTACTAACGGGTTTATATAGTCTCCTCTGATCTTTGGGATATGCTAGAGCCAAATTTGCTCTCAGGCTAATCTGCATTTGATATAATTTTCCTTGTAAATATCAGCAAAGGACAGGAGCAAACTGATTGATTGTTGGGGGGGAGGAGGGGAGTTGCATTTAGAGGGGAGGGTATATGAATTTAGATATGAAATGGGGGTACTTGCCTGTTTTCACTTCCCCCTCATCCTGAGCGATGGAGCTGTGCCGACCCCTGGATCGGGTGCCAACCCCTGGGTTGTATCACGGGCCGGTTACTGAGGCTCTGCTGTGGCCTTTTATAGTGGGTGTTTTTCCATTTCGCAAGGTCAGAGAGAACTGGCCGGCTGTGAGTCTGACTCATGCCTCTGCTTGTACGGCCACTTGAATTTACTACCTGGTGCGTACTCACTGAAAGCGAATGAAGTGCACGGAGTACAGCATCTCTCTTTCTTCATGCTGTGCTCCTCGGGTGACTCACTAAAGTTTTCCACTTGCTGGAACTCGGAGAGGACCATGCCTGTCCGCTGCTGGTGGTGAGGAAGCGTTGGCTGTCCTGGGGTTCACTTCGGTTTTCTTTCTTTGCTGCCGTCAGCAGTTGAAGAGATTTTTTTTCTGAAGGGGAAGACACAATCTGCCCCTGTTGTAGGAGGCAACAGGACTAAGGAATCTCGCAGAGAAAAGCTGTTTCCCCGTCAGGTGCTGTGATGAGCAGAGGAGGACTGATGCCAGTTCATGTTGGCAGAGCTCACTTAAGCCCTGCCTTCCCTAGAGAGAGGGGGAAGAAGCAGGTGGGACCGCGCTCCCCTCCCTGCTCTGCAAGGATGACGAAGCAGAAATGGCAGCACATAATGTGAAGGTGGGACCAGGCTACTACCTCTGCCCAGGCTGGCAACCATATCTTTGGCAGCAGAGCTCAAGTACTCCCTCCCCTCCAGTCTTCCCCAAGGTGGAGGGCATCGGAGAGTGCGTGTGTCTGCCAGATAGTTCCACACCTATAGCTTCCTGAAGAATTTTGGTATAATCTCATTTTGTCTTTACTTCAGTTCTGAAGGAGAGTAATAAATAGGAATTCCCAAAGAAGAATTAAAAACTTTGCATGCTTCGAGGAGTAGGAGGGACAGCCATGTGACTGATCAGGATAGAAAAGATGAATTTTAGAAATTTTCTCCAAGCACACTTGCACATAAGTTGTCTGTGGAGGTCAAAGCCAGCAGCTCAAATCAAAGTTAGGTTTTATTATTTAATATTCTAAGCAAGCAAACAAAACAGCATGAAAACCAGCGTGAACTAAAGGCATCTTTCAGACAACTTCATATCAAATATTTTATGTATTGAATACTTGGGATGCTTGCAATTGCCCTAAAAAGGTTAAAGGTTTATAGCTTCTGTGTGTCTCCTGGGAACAGCAGAAGAGAGGGGAAGCAATGTAAGATTGGCTGATATTGCTATATGCTTCCAGATCTCAACGTACTCGCCTTCCTGCTCATCCCCCGATACAGGCAAGAAATGCAGCAAAGGTAGCAGATTGTCTGTCGGATGCACTATTTATTTTCCTCCCACCAATCTGTTTAATAAGTCCACAAGCCATTTTGATGGTTGATAAGGCTGGTCAACATTCAGCTTAATCCTACCAAAGAGACTTATAATAATCCATTTTTGGTTAATGGTGTCTTGGAATTGCTAATTGAGGAAGGTCAGGCAAAGACCAGATTATTCGTTCCCAGACATTCAAATCTAGGTAGACCTCACCTCAGCCTTCGCCTCCTTTAGGCATCACAATTTTTAAGCGTCACCATAGGCAGGCAGGTTTGTTCAGCGGAGTAGGCTTTCCCAGGCAGTGCTGGCGGGAGTGGAATGGTGCTGCAAGAACTGTCCTCTCAGCTTAAAAGCCATGTACTTTAGGGCTTGTCCCTGCAGGAGGGGGAAGAGGGAAGAAATGCCAATAAAGGGGGATTCAACCCTGCTATGTTTAGATTTGACTTCAGAGTTGGACACATTGACAAGATGATTTCCCAGCTGCCTTTGTTGATTCGGTAGGAACTTTGCTGGTGGTTCTGGGAAGTCTCCGCTGCCCTAAAAAGCTTTAACTCTTGCTGCGCAGTGTACAGAGGAATAACGTTGGATGATGTGTTGAAGTTTTGTCAGGTAGATCAGAATATTTCTGTTTTGTCAGTACTGCATCCTCTTGCCTCATGGATTTTAACCAATCTATTCTGAGTTTGAAGCCAAGCTCTTCTGTTGGCATACAGCAAGCCATAGGTTCGGTTAAACAAAATCAAGAATGTATCGGGATATGTGAAATTCAGTCAGTGTACAAAACTTCAGAGCTGGAATCGTCTCACTGCAGCCTTTCAGCACAATGCAGGAGGGCCAGCAGAGATATAAACTGGGTTGAGGTGGAGCAACACCTGTTTTCTACCTTATTTCTAGTTGCAGAGAAGTAGAGCAGGCTTAGCAGGCCCTGTCCAAAACCTCTGTAGAGTTTCTAGAAGAAAACTTTTTCTTAAAACTTAGTCATTTTTACCATTTTTTGATTTATTTTTTTTTTTATAATACTGATAAGTGGCAACTTTTTACTTTTAAGAGCAGTCATTTATACTGAATTTTACATGTTCTCCCTGCCTTCTAGCAGACCTGCGATAAAACTAATGTTAGCTTTAGGGAAGAAGGATATTAATTTGATTGCTCGTTGGATTTTTTTTTTGTTTTGTTTTGTGATCAGGATCCTGCACAGAGGTAGAGCTGAAGCAAAAACAGAGTGATAAAGTTTCTGGATGATCTTGTATTCAAGATAAACACACCATGCTAGGGAAATAAAAAAAAAAATGGACCTAGGTTTGAGGAATGCTGTCAGCTAACAAGATGTGTGTTCTCTCAAAAAAAAAAAAATTACAACTGAAGGATTGCTGGTAGGGAGAACAAGAACTGAGTTGTTTCTCCAGCATAATGAGCCACTTGTCCAGAGTATTTTAAAATAAAATTAAATTAAACAAATACAGCCATACTGGGTCTGACCAGAGATCATTTTTCTTGACAGTCTTGGCTCTGGCCAATAACACGTGCTTGGGAGAAAAGCTACAAGAATGGACTAAGTTTCATTCCTGGCAAGAAGTGGGCTGGGACACTTGAGCCAGAAATTGCAGCAGGATTGTCATGCTTCATAGACCTTTTTCTGTGCACAGACTTGTCTTTTAAATGCATTTATACTCTTGGAATTAATGACATCCTGAGTCCATGAATATTTCCAGGCTGAAGAACATGAAGAACCTCTTTTCCCAGGTACTGTCATGTACGTCTGTTACTCTGCCACCCTGTGATATGGAATATTGGAGATATCTACATGTATCTACATCAAGCTACTGTATAAATGTTTCGTGATCCTTCCTTATTATTCCTACCCATTTTATTTGCCCTTTCATTAACTCTGAGCTAAAATGCTCAAAGAGCTATCTACACTTGACTCCCAAGATTTATTTTTTTTTTTGAGTGGTAATGCCAAGTTTAGGGTCACTGAGTATATGTACTAGGAGTGGTCTATCGCTCCATATACATTCTTCTGCACTTGCAATGAGCTTTCCTGCCAGCTCATTTCCTTCTTAGTGTCCTTGAATTATTCTGCAGCTGTTTATAGTCGTTTTAATTGCAACTAGCAAGAACTTTTTTTATTGTTCAGCAATGATCTGGAAGAGGAGGTGGACGGCTTGGATCCCAGCACAGACACTTATGCTGCTACGGTCAGAAACCGCCTTAAAAAAATGGAATGAATAGACAGTTTTTACACTTCAGCAGTTATTAATCGAAGAGATCTTCCATCTTACCCTAACGTACTTTGAAGGACTTCCCTTGTAAAGAAAGCTAAGCACCTCATCAAAGCTTTGGAAATGCAGTTACTCTATTAATAGGTTCACCTGTGTCCACGTAGTTTTTGATTTCTTCAAAAGATGATAATATGTTTCTGTGGCGTGACTTTCTTCCACAAAAGCTGTGTCTATAGCTTACTGATTTTGTTATTTATTACTAGCTTCTTTTCAGCATTGAAGGCTGACTTAGTGGTTTGCAATTCTTTAGCCCCCCTCCATGGCCCTTTTATAGAAATTGGTGTACTGGTTTTCTCCTTCTGTTTGTTTGATAAGAAGGCTGGTGGTGTCAGCAACAGTTACACACCACAATAGTTTGTCAATTTATGTTGCATTCTTTTGGAAATACTGGGTTTATTAAAAAAAAAAAAAGAAAAAAAAAAGAAACAGGCAATTAGGCTATTCAAGGTAGA